ATGTGGATGAGCTGGGCAGTGAGGATGAAATTCTAAATGTCCCAGATGTGAAGATGCATTCAACTTGAGGCGTGCAATCCAGAGGCTCAGACAAGAACAGGCAGAAGCAAAAGAAGCCATTTAGTCTTGGAAGTGATGGCAAGACCAACTTGCTGAATGGAGGGAAGGAAAGTAAAGCAAAACCTAACCCAAGCCAACAGAAGATGTAGAATTCTACCAATACCTTATTGTTGGACAACAAAGCACTTCCAACCAAATATGAAGACTTTAAACTGAGACTTCTTCTGAGCCCCGGCTGCTAGGGTTTCCAGATGGTTTAAAAAAAATACCGGACACACTTGATCTTAGATCAGGGTGGGGGGGGACTGGCCGGGAGGGGAACAGGGCTGGCTGGGAGAGATCGGGGTGGGGGGAGCGGGAATGGAGGACTGGCTGGTGGGGAGTGGAGCTGGCCCAGGCGCATGCAGATCCCAGGGTGCAGGGTCCTGGCCTGGAGCAGGAGTGAGTCCAGCCCTAGGGATTCCATCCCACCCCAGCTCCACCCCCTTCCTCTCCACTGTGTAGTTGCTTACTGCAGTGTGAGCGTGTCTACCAGCCAGGCAGTACGCAACTACGTACTGATACTCGTGATAATAAAATTAACCTAATTAGAAAATACCAGACACTTATATATCTGGTGTTTTCTCAATTTGTTTCCCGAACAGAAAGCTCAAACACCGGACTGTCTGGTTCAAAACCAGACACCTGGCAACCCTACCAGCTGCAGCAGCTACAACATGGCCACTCTGGCCACAGCGCCAGCCCTGGGGAAGGCCTGAAGGTGGGGCCAGAGTTGCTTACCCTGCTGCTCCCAGAGTGGGGACACGTGGCAGGCAGCTGCCCCATGGGCTGGGGCTGGAGCCAGGGTCATGGTGAGACTGCCATAGGCACACAGGGCAACTGCCTGCCACCCAGACCCATCAGCTGGCCCATGTGGTGTCTGCTGGAAGTGAAAGCCACCTCGACACTCACTTTCCAGCAGGAAAGTGCAAGCTGCTGAGTGGCTCTGTGAAGGAGACGGGCGGGTGTAGAATTATTTGTGTGTGGCTGTGCAGGTGTGCATGTTAGAGGGAACTATGATTTTGCATGGCTCTCGAAATATAGGGGATCACTGATGTCCTTTGAAGTGAGGTGGAAGGGTGTGAGACATGGAATCATCCTGGTAAAATGAAGTGGTCCTCAAAAATCTAGGACAGGCACAGTATTTCCAGAGGTAGGTGTTCAGAAATTATAAGCCAAGCTCCAAAAAATTATCATGTTTTTTTTAAATACTGTAGTACATTTGAGAGAGGTTAATTTTTGGGTTTGGTTTTTATTTTTATTTTTTTATTGACTCCTGGGTTGTGAGCCTGTAGGAGTCACATTTTCCAGCTTTTCTTCACAATCATCATAAATACAAACTTACTTGCTTAAAGATGAGACTCTCCAGGAGTGAGGCTGTTTAGCAGGGGTGAGGAACCTAAGGCCTGAGGCCTGGATGTGGCCCCCAGCTTGACTGGATCTGGCCCCTTCCTGCTAGCAATGGGGAGCTGGCATTGGCAGTCCAGCCCCTTCACTGTCTCCCTGTGGGACTGGAGCACACAAAATCTACTAGTCTGGGCCCTCCTAGGCTCTGGTATGTGATAGGAATGTGGGGAGTGTCTTTCTCCTCAGTTGGGGTTCATGTCAGTGAGAGTTGGTTTGGGTCTGTGCCCCGCCCTGGGCTGCAGTGCCAGGAGAGGCAGGAAACTGCCTTAGCATTCCCACTGCACTGCTGACTGGGAGCCAGTCAAGGTAAGCCCCTCCTGTTAGCTAGCCCAGTGTGAGGTTATTCAGCATAGGGGAAGCTTGTGACTTCTTACACCACTGTGGGGGGAGGGCTAGGCCTGAGGCTGCTTGGTGTGCTCTGCGTTGTGTATGTGTGAGTGCACCTCAGACCAGACCCACTCTGACAAATCACCAGGAACAGGCTTTATTCTGTAAAAAACATAGAACAGGAAAACAGTTTAGCAACCCCTCCTCTCAGCATGCAGCCTGTGTGCTGCTTCTAGCACAGTCCTTGCTGAGACCCTGCTGGGGGCAGAGGGCACATCCTGGAAGGAACCAGGAAGTTCTCCCACCATGCCGCAGTTTGTAGTCCACAACTTGTAGTTCCCAGGGCTGCTGCTGAAACACACTGGACCTTGGGCTACACCAGCATACCTGATCCAAAAGGGATCTTAGTGGGTCTGATCAGCACTGCTGAGTTGTTAAAAGTCCCCCCACCTGACTCTGTGCAGCTCCCCAAAAGCAGCAACATGTCCCTCGGCTCTTAGGCAGAAGCATGGCCATGGGAGCTCCCTGAACTCCTGCTCCGTAGCTCCCATTGCCTGAAAATTGTAGTCAATGAATGGGGAGCTTCACAGGCAGGAGCTACAGGGGGAACCAGTGTTCAGGACTGCCAGGCCCTGCCTCACCTAGGAGCAGAGGGACATATTAGGGAGCCCTCACAATTAAGTACTGCTCAGAACTACACCCCTCACTCCCTCCTGCACCTCAGTCCGGAACCCCCTCCTGTACCCCAACTCCTTCCAGGAGCCTGCATTCTAACGTCCTGCACCAGCCCAGAGTTCCCTCCTGCACCCTAACCCCCTAATTTGTGGCCCCACCTAGGACCCTGAACTGCCAGCCCAGAGCCAGTACCCTCTCCCACACCCCAACTCGCTGCCTCAGTCGAGAGCCCTCTCTCTGACTCTCTGAATGCCTTGGGCCCCAGCCCAGAGCTCCCCCCTGAATGCCACAGATCTCATTCCTGACCCATCCCAGAGCCCACATCCTAACTCTCTGAGCTAGTCCTGAGTCCCGCCCCTCCCTGCATTCAAACCCCCTGACCCAGGCAAGGCCCCCTCCTGCACCATTAACCCATTTCTGCCTTACATAGGAGCACTCACCCCTTCCTGCAACCCAATTCCCTTGCCCCGCTCAAGGCATGGGTTAGAGCTGATGAAGCCCAGCTGCTGTTTGGGCTTGCAGGGTCCCAGGCCATGCTAAGCTGGGTACAGCAGGGATGGAAACTTCCATCTCAGGCCTGCTAAGCTGCAGGACCCACATATAACTTTCATGTGACAACACAGGGGCTACGTCTACACTGGCCCCTCTTCCAGAAGGGGCATGTAAATTTCACTAGTCGTCGTAGGGAAATCCGCGGGGGATTTAAGAATAAGAGCCTCCGGAAAAGGGCACTTTTTCCGGAGGATCGGGGCCAGTCTAGACGCTCTTTTCCGGCTTTTTTAAAAGCCGGAAAAAAGCGGCGGACATTTTTATTTAAATGCCGCGGGGGATATTTAAATCCCCCGCGGATTTCCCTACGACGACTAGTGAAATTTACATGCCCCTTCCGGAAAAGGGGCCAGTGTAGATGTAGCCAGTGAGTGTGCAGGAGGGGGAGAGTGAGTGAGTGAGTGACAAAGGGAAGTAGATGCAGGAGCGAGTGGTGGGTGGGGTGCAGGGCTGGCAACAGATTTCACCAGCTCTGGGCAAGGCAAGTCCTCAAGGCAGAAGGAGCAAGGCTATGAGCTAGCCTTCCCTACCAAGTTTTAAGCCACGGCTGCTGCCATCATTGCCCCCTCATTAGTGGGGTTTCAGAAAAGGGGTAGGGCCTAAGGAAGGGACAGAACAAGAGCGTTTGGATTTGTGGAATTACAAAGTTGGTGACCTTAAGTATCACAAAACTTGCAACCCCCTGCTGTGTGTGTCCATAAACCTCTATCAGAAGCATCATGCTCTGGACCCTCTTGGGGGCAGGATACTGGGTTTCATAGACCAATAGTCTGATTCATTATGATTCATTATTTTAGCAAGCAATGATGAGGCCATCAGTTGCATATGGTCCCTGGGCCAACTGTGTGGAATTATAACTAGAACCTGCCTCCTATTTTCACTTCACTGGAGCAAAGGTCTATGAGGGGTAGAGGGGTGTGAGAGGGAACTACACATTCCAGCAGGCCATGCTCCAGCTCGACCGCAACAGCTCCGGTTCATTGGCTAAGATGCGCCTTTTTTTTAACCGCATTGCACTGTGGGAGATGTAGCCTGGGCCAACTGTGTGGAATTATAACTAGAACCTGCCTCCTATTTTCACTTCACTGGAGCAAAGGTCTATGAGGGGTAGAGGGGTGTGAGAGGGAACTACACATTCCAGCAGGCCATGCTCCAGCTCGACCGCAACAGCTCCGGTTCATTGGCTAAGATGCGCCTTTTTTTTAACCGCATTGCACTGTGGGAGATGTAGTCCTAC